ATTCCTTGATCTTGCTGTACAATTACATTTTGTTTCATCTGACCAAGTAGAAAAAGGTCGCAGCATTGAATTTGACAGTTATAAATTCAAAGGTCCTCACCTAGGTGCAAACTATACCTACCTAAATGACGAGTATTCGCGCCTTCGATGCATGACAAGACAACTTCTCTGTAAATGCCTTTGGTAATGAGTTTGGTAATGAGTTTAAAAAAATTATGAATTGTTGTCAAATTGCGATATTTTGTTTATGTGTTTTCACTTCGTCGTTAGCGTTAGCGCCCTTGAATAAGGAATCTTTTTTATTCTGATATCAAGTAATTATTACGATTTGCTTATACGATGGTAGCGCTAAACATGTTATAATTAGGAGATTGGCGGTATCAGAGGCGGATCACCGCTCAGGCACAATAAGCTCGTGCTTGGGGCCTCATCTTGTCTGGGGGCCTCCAAAACTAATAACTAGCAAGAAAAAATCTCTGGGAAAAATTGATTTTTGTTTATTGTACGTCCTGGAATTTATAAACGACAACGACAACCCCCAATACCACTAGACTATTGTGGGTTTGCAAAGCCATTGTGTCCAGATATATAAAGTATTACTTGACGGGCTGCAATCTACATTCCCTAATGTGGAAACTATTTTGAAAATATTTTTAACCATGTCTATTTGTAACGCTAGTGGCGAACGTTCCTTTTCCTGTCTTAAACGAGAAAAAATCATTTACGAAATTCTCTTGGCCAAAGTAATTTAAATAATTTGTCCGTCATGTTTATTGAGGCTGATATTGTACAATTATTGGACTATGAATTGCTCATTTTTCTTACCTTAAATCCAGAAAAGTTCCCTTATAAGTTGTAATAGTTTATAGGTAGGTACCTTAATATTGCAATAAAACGTTAAATTTTAGACAATGTTTGAATTAGAACCCTACTTTACATCAATTAATATTAAAGTAGAAGGGAAGGTAACACCTCGGTTATGATTGAATGGATGTGAGTATTCCATCAGTTTTTCAGACATGATCATTATAAAACGGCCAATATATGTGATTATACCATAATCAAAATTAAATTTCACATTGATTTAAAAATGTTAAAAAATTTTGAATTTTTATTAGGAGAGGGGCCTCAAAAGGGCGTTATGCTTAGGGCCTCTAAAGGGTTTAATCCGCCACTGGGCGGTATCAAATATTGATTGCATATCGATTGAGGGCAGATGTAAACAAGTACAAAGCAGAGTTTATGTAAATAGTAAATAATGGGAGTAAGTATTTATAGGACAGTAATAATATAATTGAAGAATTAAACAGGTGGCAGGTCATATTTTTTATTTATAGAATGATCGCACTGAAAGGTGATCACCGGGGAAGTGCGAGACAATTATGTTGTTGTTAGTTTGATACGCATTGCTTTGAGTAACCTGACTCTCGCCCACACAGCTTTGAAATTATGGAGAGTATCTTTGGCAACACCGCCATGAATAATGTTACCGTTTTGCTGCAGATACCTATAATCTCACCAACTTTACGGCACATTTTAGTTATTCAACTCGGTTACTAGAGGGCCAGGGTATCGCCCTCCCAGCGCTGAGTAGATTCAAACTATTTCACAATTTAATGATACGCTGCATCTCTTATTATTAGTTACTCTTTGCTATAGGTCAATATGGGTTCATAAGAGAATAACCTGGTGAATACTCCTAGAAGGTACCACATGTACTTTAGAATGAATGAAAAACATTCGATTGTATATTGACGTGACAATAATGTGTCTCCGGATTTACAATCATATCTTCTGTTTTGATACTTGAATATTTACACATTTCCTTCTTAAAAACCAATACAAATACGAATTATCGAAAACGAATTAAAATTGCTGTCGTACCCCTAGGATATTTATATCAAGGTTTTTGGATTACAAGGAAATAACAGAAATCACAGTACCTTCCAATTCGTATTGAGGTGGCGTCGATCACTATACATTTGGTCTTGGTTGAGAATTCCCCTAGGTGAAGATCCGTATTCGTTGGTATATGAAGTTCTTTCCTTACGGGAACAGAAAAGTCTGACATATGTTGACAAATTTGACTTATGTTCCACCCGAATTTGAGTAGATTCACGTGCTTGCTACATGCGGTTTCATTTCTCCGCTTTGTGAGCACTCAACTTCTTACGTATACACCTATTTATCTCTCTTATAATTTAAATACATATCGAAATTAGTATTCGTCGCTAAACTCTACGTGCCTCATATGCAGCCCGCACGAAAATCCAACTCACAATGATAATGCACTTTCCGCGGTTTCTACGTCCCGATCAACACGAAAATTCATACCAGACCTTCAAGAAAGGCTGCCATTTGCTGTTACGGTAGCAACCCTTAACAATTTCGCATTTCGCGACCAAGTTTCTCAAAACGATTTCTACACTAAAATTCTTCTTCTTCTTCCTCCAATTTTCCCCCTTCCTATCGTTGGCGGGATATAAATATTAAACAGAACCGACTTTAGTTATCGCCCACAAGAATCTGATAGCTCTCGCCATCGCGGATTCTTATCTGTAATCGTTACCAGGATAAAAATTTAAACGGAACCAACGTAAAATATACGACTCGCGTCTGTTTTTCCAAACTCGTTTTGCTATATCCATTAACCTACTCGAGATTTCTGCTTGCACGGAGTGGTCCATACTAAATTCTCTACGGTCGTAATTAGGGAATGCAATACCGGGATCGCGGGATCCCGACATACCGGGATCCCGCAGAATTTTTGCGGGATTAATCCCGCACATAAATGGAGCGGGATCCCGCGGGATTTGCGGGACTGAGGAATTTGTCGTCCAAGGGGACGACTCTGTTTGCTTTGTTAATGAAACGCATAACGGAGAAATTATTTTTAAAATAATTGTTAAACTTTTTTCATTAAAAATGTACTATGATTTTTGAGGCACTTTAGAAGTTCACCTTTTTGTCCTTTACAGGTGATTTTTTTGAGTTCTAAGTTAGACTTTTGTTGAATATTGTGATAATTAGCGATTTATTTAAATACAGAAGTTAACCGCATAAAATTGCTTATTCATGCCAATTTATTTAAAATTTTGCGGGATCCCGCAAATACCGGGATCCCGCGGGATTAACATCTAACGATCCCGCAAATACCGGGATTGAGATTTTGCTGCGGGATTGCATTCCCTTGTCGTAATATAACCAAACTGGAGAAAAATTGGAGAAAAATTAATTGCATAGCGAGCCCCCGCTACAGATGTCACTTTTTAAAAGTGTAAGACGTAATGGTGAAATTTCTGGGAGGGAAGATTCTGCTAGCCTATGCCTTTCCGGGAACAAATACCCCAGGAGCGAGTTCTCTTAAAACCGAAAATTTCGCACTTCACTTTTCTTGGTTTTTTTAGCTTCAAAACCTTTCTAGGTAGTCAAGATTTGGGTTATTCATTATTTATGATTAAAATTAAGCAATATTCTCCACATTCCAGTTTTTGATGGTCAATGGAGGGGAAGGAATTGGAAGGCATAGTCGACATAATATGTGGAAAGTAATGAATGGCAACTCACACTGCACGTACATTCAGAACCGAAAAATTTATGTTCACAGTTCTGCCTCTCATTCTGCTACAGTATTGCCATCTTCGGTAGTCTCTTCACGGCTAAAAGTCGCGGTTGCCAGCTTTGTATACGGGGTGGACCCTCTCAGTCCAGAGAAACAAAATTTGGTAATCAACCAAAGATCGAAAAGGGTTAAGGTTTTAAGGATTTTAATATTCGGGACCCATTATTCAAAGTATTAACGATTTAGGATTACCTTAGTTAAAAATAACTACAGTCAGGGTTCAAGTATCTCAAAGACGCATTATCCTCGAAACACAAAGTTACAGCTTCTTATCCGTATTAAGTTAAGTCGCGTCGATCCCCATAGATTTCGCCTTGGTTCAGAATTACCCTAGGTCAAGGTTCGTAGTCGTTGGTATATGACGTTTTTTTCTTTACGAGAACAAACAAACCCCGAACTTCAAGCTTCATTAGTTTCAAAGCTTTTCTAGATAGTCAGAATTTGAGTTTTTCATTATTTAAGATTTAAAAAAACGACATTCGCGAGATTCCGGTTTTGAAGGTCAATTACAAGGCCTTGAAGGGCAAAGTTAACGTTTAAGTTACGGAACATGTGCAAATCAGTGAATAGAAACACACTGCACATATATTTAGAAGTGAAGGGTTTTGTGTTAACAGGATTTCACTCCTCGAACGGAGAACTTGTCCATCGTTCGAGAAATGCCAGATGAGACTCGAGATTAACCACAGTTGCAGATGTCGTAACTTGACTACAGCATTCCCATCCTTGGTATTGTCTACTAACGGCGAAAAGTATGACTTTACATAAAACACGCCCATACAAACATCAAGCAATTGGCTAATTTCAACAAAATCGAAACGAATGAGCAAAGTATGTTAATTAAACTGCGGGCAATCGAAAGCAAAAATTAACCATTATTTTCTATACACGTTAAACAGCATTGAGTTTACTATTGCCAATTTCAGAAACAAAGTTTGAAAGTTATAGAAACATGTATACAAAACACAAATAAATTATAAAGAAATGCCTGCATTAAATAACACAACAAAAAACACAAACTTAAGCGATCATCTCTCGACGATAATTAAAACTGCTGGCCAGATAATTTAATTTATCGTAGTAAATAATAAAACCGATTATCAATTTAAATTGAAAAAATACCTGTTTGGATGATGTTGCAAGACTGTTTTCATCTTTCAAATTATTTCAAACTCCCGCATTTTACAGGACAACTAAATACTGCATTTCGAGTTTTGGAACTAGCGAGGCTTTTTATAAAAAGTAACGCTAATACGTTTAATGTTAATGCAAATTGTATTTACATATGAAACAATGAGATTGTAATTAATAACGTCTGCAACCTTACTTAAACAATTAAAACTAGACAAAAAATAGTATTCTTCCATTTGATTTTAGAATGCAAATGAAACGTTTCGCTTTGAAAAAGAGACTTCTCCAATACAGCGCTGCTGTAACTGGTGAGTGTTTGTTTCTGTTGCATTTTTTAACTGGAATATCGTGCCCTAGGTTTGCTGGTGACTTTCTGTAGCGGGCTACACTTTGGATGGACTTCGCCGTATTTGCCCGTACTTCTCGGTGAAGATTCCCCAATTCCGATAACCGCGGAGGAATCATCTTGGGTGGGTAATATGTACCTTTTGGGCGGTGTGAGTGGTAGCCTTTTGCTGAGCGTTATCGGGCGCCTAATTGGAAGGAAGACGCTTCTGTTGTGGTCAAGCGTGCCGTTTTGTGTATCGTGGCTGGTAATCGCGTTTGCCACTACGTTACTAGAGCTATTAACCGGTCGATATATAGCAGGCTTCTGCGAAGGGGTGGCGTTTCCGATCCTTGTGATTTACCTCAGTGAAATATCCGATGATGAAATACGGGGGATGTTGTGCTCTGCAATTACGGTCTCCCTTTATTTGGGTGTTATGGTGATTAATGTGATTGGAACGTATATGACTATCAAAATGGTGTCGCTGGTGTGCCTGGCAATACCTATACTCCTCTTCGTCCTTTTTTTTTGGATGCCCGAGTCGCCCAACTATCTACTGATGAAAGGTAAACACGAAGAAGCAAGACAGAGCTTTATTGCACTGAAAGGTTCAGAAGACGCCGACCGCAAGTTAGACGTCGTTGCAAATGCTATTCAGCAAGAAAGTTTAAACAAAGCCTTCATCTCAATACTCAAAAGAATGAACCACAGGAAACTGCTGACGTTAGTGGGCCTCCGTGCTACTCAACAGTTTAGCGGTGTTGTCCCTTTTAATATCTACGCGCAGACCGTTTTTATGGAAAGCGACGCTTTTGTGTCACCGTTACTTGGGGTGGTCATCTTCTATGCCGTCCAAATTGTATTTTCCGTACTGAGCTCGCTACTGGTAGATAAATTGGGCAGGAAACCGTTACTCATAGCGTCTTTAATTGGTGCAATTTGTACTTTGCTTAGCGGGGGATCGTTTTTCTATCTCCGAGATGTGACCAAACTCGACACCTCCCTCGTGGCATTTTTACCAGCGTTAATTTTGATCGCCTTCACCTTCAGCTACAGTGTAGGCTTACAGACGATGCCTACGTTTATGGCGGCTGAACTGTTCCCAACGAACCTGAAAGCTCACGCCAGCTCGATAGGGGCCGTGCTTTTTTACGGGTTGGGAACAGTTTCGACGAAGTACTTTCAATTTACCAAAGATAACTACGGCCTTTTCGTTCCCTTTTGGAGTTTCGCCGTCTGCTGTACCATCGGATTGGTTGTTCTTGTTATATTTATGCCTGAAACCAAAAACAAAACGTTGGAGGATATCCAAATAGAGCTAAGTCAGGGCCACCCTCATCGAAGCTGTGATCAAAAACCATAAATTTCGGCCATAATCTTGGTAATAGGTCGACAATACTCATTTATACAAATAAAAAGGTAGGTAAGTATTAACTTATTTATTGCTACCAAATAAAAATGTTGGGCTGTATTGTTTATCCAAGTATTAATAAGAACCTACCCTGAGAATGTCACATGGCGCAACCCTGCTCTAATGCAACGACAAAGAGGACAAACCTAGGTAAACCTGGAGAGGAAAGGATATTACAACAGGTGGTCACCGGGCAACAGAGAATTCACTCTCTCATGGATTCTGGAGGAAGACCATCGTTGCGTTGTTTACCAAGCGCGCCCTAATCAACTAGACACCTACCAAGGCTGTAACCTCGCAAGGGTCACATGACATGATCGGAAGCAGAAAAAGTTAACCTAAGACGTAAAAATGAGACCCTAGGACAAGCACTTGAAATAGAAAGTAGACGCAAAGGGTGTCTATCCATTAGTCTACGAAGCAGGACTGGATAGTTGTAACAAGGCGACCAAGTGTAAAGCGGAAATCTATCAGGAGAATATAATGTGCGACTAGGTAGTAGAAAACTATTCTAAAATTGGTTTGGCTAGCAGGGGAACATGATGGATGTCTTTATCCATCACCGCGAGATGACGTTTTTATTGGCCCCAGCACCCATAATTCGATGGGTCACCCTGTCTAATGTGGATTTCAATTTTGTAAGTTTAAATGTGGTCTCTAATTTAGATTGGTCACAGATTCGATCATATTATTTGAATTAAAGGTCAATCTTATTTTGTATCAGAATTTTTTTTGATTTGTAATTGTACAGTTTAATTACGTGTTAAAAATTAAAAATTAGGGACATTTGGAAACAATTGCATTGTGTTATTGTAAAACTTTATCTCCGATGGGTGCGATAGAAGGGGAACCCCGATAGAAGTTCGTTGTTGATAAGCAACTAAGTTGCAGACGGGAAAAGTTTCTTTATCGTGAGAGCATTTTGAGTGGATTCGTTCGCTGTAATCAGCTTTGTTTTGGAAAGACAGTCGGTCTTGGGGATTGTAAAGTTGCAATAAAAGAAAGTCAGTTATATATACGCCTTTAAAAAAAATTTTTTAGGTTTAGGAAAAAGGCTGCCCGTCGAGCTGCTACCCACTTGGCTCTAGAGCGAGTGGGTCTGTGTGACACTCCCTTCCATCTAGGTAAGGTTTAACCCTCCCCTCCCTCCCTTCGATGTGTTTATGCAAGCGGGCACCACCCGACGGCATATCATCCGGCTTCGCCGCTTAGATGTAAGTCAGTGGGTGTTCAGAATCTGTAGAACCCGGGGCAGTTTGTAAAAGTGTAGAAACACCCTGGAGAATTTTCAATAATGTTCTGACGAAGGAGCTTTGAAGTGACCAGAGTTTGGTTTTGACACCATAAGTGTGTGCTATGGAGACTCCCTGACTGGTCCCGAAGAAAAATTGTAAGGTTCCTGATGATTCAAAATTGTAACAATCCTGTGTTTTGGGGAATCTGAAAGAATTTTAACTTACATCAATCCTCTATCAGGAGAATATAATGTGCAGGCTAGGTAGTAGAAAACTACTCTAAAATTGGTTTGGCTAGCAGGGGAACATGATGGATGTCCTCTTCCATCACCTCGAGATAATGTTTTTATTGGCCCCAGCATTTATAGTTACGAAATTGGGGAAAGAAGTCTTGAGCAGCATCTTAAACCCAAACCTCAATACCCCTTATGGCGGTATTCCAGAAGTGGTAATGGAGTTGTTTTTTAGTGTGGGGAGGGGGGGCATTCCATACCCCCGAAAACCCCAAGGATCCTCTCTTCCTCAAACCGTCTAATTTTCAAGTTTTGTTTGAGGATTGTAAGGGAAGATTTTCAAATACTTTCCTCCGTAGGTACTGCAGAAAACACAGCGCCGGGGGGCAATGGGCAGTTGTTTACGGAGGGGAGGGGGTACCATACCCCCACACCCCCAGATAACTGTTTAATCTTCAGGACTCGCTGTTGGGGCTTGAAAACGGAAATCGTCTTCAAAACTTTTACGTTCGTTTAATACCATCACATTTGTCCTTGAGTGGAGTTGTGCGTGGGAAAATTCTGAGAACCGTGGGACCTTTTTTTCTTTTGATGCCGCCCGCCGCTTAATTTTGACCCGGGGTATTTCGCAAAGTTTGCGCGGGATGCCATATTTTGGCATCAGTTGTGCCAGGGATGCTACGTTTAGGTTCGCGTTCACGTTGGGTTTGCGCTCACATTTGGGTTCACATTCGCGTTCACGTTGGGCACGCGTTTACGTTTGGGTCTGCGTTGATGTTGGGTTTGCGTTGATGTTAGGTTTGGGTTCATGTTTGGGTTTGCGTTCACGTTTGGGTTCACGTTCGCGTTCACGTTTGGGCAAGCGTTTACGTGTCTGCGTTCATGTTGGGTTTGCGTTCATGTTTGGGTTTGCGTTCACGTTGGGTTCGCGATCACATTGGGTTCACGTTCGCGTCGAATTCGCGTTTACGTTTGAGTTCAAGTTGGGTTTACGTTCGAGTTGGCGTTTGCGTTCACGTTGGGTTTGCGTTCACATTTGGGTTCACGTTCGCGTTCACGTTTGGGCACGCGTTTACGTTTGGCTCTGCGTTCACGTGTGGGCACGCGTTTACGTTTGGGTCTGCGTTCATGTTTGGGTTTGCGTTCACGTTGGGTTTGCGATCACATTGGGTTCACGTTCGCGTTCGAGTTGGCGTTTGCGTTCACGTTGGGTTGGCATTCACGTTGGGTTCACGTTCGCGTTAAAGTTCGCCTTTGGGTTGGCGTTCCTGTTCACGTTCACTCTCGCGTTGGTTTCACTTTCACACGTTTGGACGTGAACGCTCACCCAAACGTGAACGTGAACCTAAACGGAGCACCCCCGGGATAACTGCCAAAATATGGCATAGATTATAAAGTGTTGAAAAATGAATCCTGGCAAATGGAAGAAAACCTCCTTTTCGTGGTAAGCAGAAGGAGTTTCTTAAACGATACCGATACCTATACTGAGTAGAAGGAGTTGATGCACCTCTTTGCACATTATATTCCTCTGACACTGAATTTGTAAAGGTTAAGTGTTGAAATATTACTCCTGGTAATTGAGAAAGACCTCCTCGTCCATCATGTTCTTTTGAAAGACAAACACTTTTACGAGCCGAGACACTTTGCATATTATTCTCTCCTGATACCTACTAAAGGTTAAGACGGAAAAAGGTCCCCTCGCCCTAAGATAAATTGCAGAATGGCGGAAGTGATCAAGAACTCCTCATCCATTATGTTACTCCTGGTAGATAAAAGAACTTGGAAGGGTTTGCTAACTGACACCTTCTCTGTATAGTAGGGGCTAAGACACCTCGGACAGTATATTCTCCTGATAACAAAGAGTACGAAATTTTCAAATGTGTAAGTCAAAATAACGTGATGGTAATGGAAGATTTCCTCTTCGTTCTTCATGGTGTTCTGGTAGCCAGAAAGATTTATACCTACTCTGTATAGTAGGCGCAGAGACATTTCCTCGCTCTCGTGATACTACATTTAAAAAGGTTTAATCGGAAAATTAAACGGAAAGTTTCCTTTCCCCATTTTCTAGGAAACAATACCAGCATTCTAAAGTTATAAGTTTACAAAATACTAAGATACTAGACTTTCAGTATTTCAAGATATCAGGAAGACCAAAGTGGACAATTCTCGCGCCTTATCAGGAGAATATAATGCGCAAGGAGTTGTTCCTTCTATACTTTTCATCACCAGGGAAAGTAGTTCTATGCTTCATTTAAAGCCTGACTTTCACTAATCAGGAGGATACAGTGTGTGAGGAGGTTAAACATACCAACTCTTATCAGGAGAATATAATTTCCAAGGAATTGCTTCTGCTCCTGGAACACGAATATCAATGAGCCAACTCTTATAAGGTTTCTATGCCTATCAGACGAACCTGATGGACGAGGAGGTATTTTTTCATCAGCAAGAGAAATATCCATATGCTTTAGTTTTCAGTAGTTTTCGGTAGTTGGCTCGGAGTATTTCGGACAGTTTGCGCGGGATGCCATATTTTGGCAGTTGTCTCGGGGGTGCTACGTTTAGGTTCACGTTCGCGTTAAAGTTCGCCTTTGGGTTGGCGTCCCCCGGGCCAAACTGCCAAAAATTAAGCGGCGGGCGGCATCAAAAGAAAACAAGTTAAAAAGTAATCGTAAACGATTTACATAAAGCGCATTTCCACTTGCATTCATTTCCCATTTGTAAGATGCAACTTCTGATAAAATCGTAAAAATCCGGCCACAAATATGAAAGATAGCGTTGCACATGGGCAATCCATTTTTGACGTGTTACTTCAATTTCAGTTTATGAGAAGAATTTCATTTCAATGCTTTTCTAAATAAGAAAGTTGGAACTGCGCATGCGCAAACCTAAATTTAAAAAAATTTTTAGATTTTCCTTTGTTCCAAGCGCCTAAGTATCAAATTTCACTTAAATGGTGCCATAGATAAAAAAGTTGGCACTGCGCATGCGCAAAAGAAAATTTTGAGACTGGCGCTCGATGATCCTTTATTCCATGTGCCTATGTATCACATTTCATTTAAATTCTTCCATAAATAAAAAAGTTGGCACTGCGCATGCGCAAAACCAAATTTTGAAATTGGCGTTTGATTTTCCTTTATTCCAAGTGCCTATGTATCAAAATTCATTCAAATACTTTTATAAGTAAAAAAGTTTGCAATTCGGTTTATAAATGGTCGAGATGCGAAAAGGGCACTGTGAATTCTGAATCGATTCGATTCAACTTTTGGCATTGCGTATTATATGGCTAAAGCTATGCCCATATTGAATTTCATGCAATTTAGTTCATAACTAACGGAGATGTAAAAGCGATCGAACATTTCTAAACAAAGTTATCGTTCACACGGACAAATAGATGGACAGACAGACAAAGGAACAGACGGACAGACCAGCATGCAGACGACAGATAGCAATGCAAAATTATAAACGATCTCTAGGATCGTTAATAAACGGCAAAAGGGTAAAATTATGGAACATGTAAAAAACGGTTTTTTGTTTTTTTTTACAATAACTTTTTTTTGTAAGCGGTACAGAAAAAATTCCTTCCTTGGTACAAGACTCGACACCATAACGAACCAAATAGCGAAAAAAGTAGAACAATAACTCTTAAGATAAAGAACTAGTAGCGTCGCAAAACGAGCGGACGGACGGACGGACGGACGGACAAAGTGGCCACAATAGCGCATTTTTTTTTTGTGGAAATGCGCTAAAAAGTTCCCACTGTCCTCAGAATTTTCCCACGCACAACTCCCCCTAATACCTACTTCCTTGAAAGCAGAGAATTCAATAAGTACTCGACTCTCTCAAATGGAATATCAGTAAATCCCGAATCGTTTGTGTAAAACTCTTTAAACAATGGAACACGATTGAACAACCAATTTTAGAAAAACTCGATGAAAATTAGGGGAAAACCAAAAAACTTGCGAGAAGCTTAAGAGAAACTTGAAAACAACTTGCGAGCAGTTTACCCGAGATGAGAAACATTTTAGGAGAACGTGCGGAGATTAGGATGGGAATTGAGTTTGATGAAGAAGTGCTGGAAATAGGAGTTATGTGAGGAACAATCAATCTGGCTGGTAATTGAAGAGTAATTTAGGAATCTTAAAGGAACGCCAAAAAAACTGCAAAGGGATGAGAATTTTGAACCTTTGGATGCTCTTAAAATGAATTGAGCTTAAGGGCAACGTGAAGAGGATTTGGAACAACTTAAAATGTTGGAAGAACTTGAGGGAACTTGGGATGCATTTGGATCAAGAAGGAGGAAATTGAGAAGGACAACTTCAGTAGCTTGAGAGATATGATTGAACAAGCTTGAGTAAAACAATGGATGGCGAAATCTAAATTCTATGCCGATTCTAATTTATTTAATTAAACATGATCCGATCATAAAAAGGTGCTTCGAAATACAATACACATAATATTGTTGAATAGCTATCTACTAATTTCTTTTACTAAGGAATGCAGCTTTAAACACCTAAAGAGAGCAAAGGTTACGCACTACTTTTATTGTTCATTTCCATTTGAATCTCTTCCAAGGTTTTGTTTTTAGTTTCTGGAATAAAAAATATTATCATCACCAGTCCGAAAGAGCAACACAGCGCGAACGTCAAAAAAGGTACGTACAGCCCGTACTCCTCCATGGTAAACTGGAAGTATTTGGAGGCCAAGCCGGCAAATATAAAGTAGTATCCGTCCGAAATGGCGACAGAGTACGCCTTCACGTTACTCGCGAAAATTTCCGCCCCCAAAAAAAGGGGCACCAACTGTAACGCCGAACTGTAACTGATAATGTACGTGATGAGCATTACGGTTGGTAACGCCGAAATTCCGCTAGTGTCCAGCCCGAGCACATCGCGCGCGAGAAAGAAAAGTCCTCCGAGCAATAGGGAGATGACCGATCCAATGGTGGAGGCGATCATTAGCGGCTTTCTTCCGATTCTGTCGACGTATAGCGCGCCTATGGTGGAAAACAGGATTTGTACGGCGTACCAAATGAGAACTCCTGACAAAGGCGAAAGGGCATCGCTTCCCTCTTGGAATAGCGTTTGGGCGTAAAACGTGAACGCAATAACACCACTAAACTGTTGTCCGAATCTCAACCCCATGATCATTAGCAGATTTTTCAAACTGGGTTTCTTAAACAGACATCGCAAGTTTCCCTTCGTCACGCTTTCGGCGAGTATCTCCAAGGTTCGATCGGCTTCCTCGACACCTTTAAACGCGACCAAGCTTACTCGTGCCTTCTCGTGATTGTTTTTAATCAAGTAGAAATTGGGCGAATCGGGAATCCAAATGAGCAGCACCAAAATGATCACCGGCAGTGCAGCGCAGATTAGAGCGGACCATTTGATCGTCAAATACGTGCCGATCACGTTCATAAAGGCCGAACCGATCAAGAAGGTGATCGTGACGGTGCAGCCCAACAGACCGCGCACCCCCGCGTCCGAAATTTCCGCGATATAAACCGGTATCACTCCGTAAATCAGTCCGTCCGAGTAACCGGCGATGAGTCGCGCCGCAAGGAGGACCGCCAGCGAATTGGCGAACGCCATCATCAGCCACGAAACGATGAACGTCACCGAAGAGATCAGTATCGCCATTTTTCGCCCGATCAGATCCAAGGTGATTCCGGCGCAAATGGCACCGCACAGGCCGCCGAATAGGCAGATGACGACAACCCATGACGACTGCTCGTTTGTCATGGGAATTGGGGAGTCTTCGCTTAGAAGAAGCGGCAGGGACGGCGATGACCATCCGTACTGGCAACCACTGGAGAAGGTGGCCACCGAACCTGGAAACAACCCAGTGAAGGTATCAGTGTGCTATAGGTAGTTGGTGACTTACAAGCAAAGACTGCAGTGTATTGGAGCGCCCTTTTTTCCAAGGGGAAATTCAACAGCTTCATTGTGACGAGTGACGTGGAAAATTCGCAATCTCAGTTCCCATGGAACAATAGAGAGTTTGGGGCTCCAAGGTGAAGGTCTCACTCTATTTTCATTGAATGCAACCAATAAACACCGAACACACTATTTTGACTTCACCTCACTTCGCGTTTTCGTATCTAACTGACACCCAACGCCTTGTGTCACAGAAAAACCTTGGCCCCCGTCTTTTTTGGCATCGCGGTATGTACGCATTTAGTACATCATCGCAGACAGAAAGACATATATTGGAATCGACCCAATTATAGGTTAGAAATTGCCCAAAACTAAATTTCGACACGTGCCGCAGGTAGTTTTTCGGTGGGAAATTTTAACGAACTAATCCGAGATTATCTAATTGTGTTTTTTTGAAATGGAGCCAGTATTAATTAAGTAAGTGTCAGATACAGAAATAAACTAACTAAAGGTTTTTTTTTTATTAAAATTAGAATTTTTATGCCAACTTAAGTTGGCTTGGGAGCGTTGTTGAATTTTTAATGTTAATGGGGCCGGTTATGTTACTTGGTTTACACCAGTGCCAGTATGGTGACTATTTTTTTCATTTTTTTTATCATAATGAGGTTTCTGGCCGCATAAAAAGCGTACAAGTGTCTAAATGACAACAGCCTAGAGTCAGGGAGAAGTTGCTACCACCGCTGGAGTCGATGGAAGGGGCCCAAGAATCAAAAATTCATTCAAGCCCCTTCGAAACTCTTAATGCCTTTTAAGACTTTTTCTTTCAAAAACCTCCAAAATCCGTTTGAAGCTTTGTTATGGCCTATGATACTCATCCTAGTCCCTTTAAACCGTTAAAGACACTTCAGTACTACTGAAATTACCTTCATGACCTTTCCAGGCGCTCCAAGATATTTCATATACTTCAAAGCCTTTGGCGAAGGTTTTCTAAGGTCCTTCTCAAGAATCCTTCGAGAATTTTCAAAAATTTTCAAACACTTTAAAGAAGGTGTCAAGGGGTTTAGTGCTTCTTCATGTTGAAATTGATGATGATTTGAGGTGATTCTCAAGATTCTTACATTGAAAACCTCCTCACACATTGCATTCTCCTGATAAAAAGTTTGTAAGGGTTGAAAACTAAAGCATATGGATATTTCTCTTGCTGATAAAAAAAATACCTCGTCGATCAGGTTGGTGAGTTGGTCTGACAGGCATAGAAACCTTATATTTTATTGATATTCATTTATCAGGAGCAGAAGCAATTCCTTGAAAAATATATTCTCCTGATAAGGGTTGGTATGTTTAACCTCCTCACACACTGTATCCTCCTGATTAGTGAAAGTCAAGCCCCAAATGAAACATAGAACTCCTTTCCTTGGTGATGAAAAGTCTAGAAGAAACAACTCCTTGCGCATTATATTCTCCTGATAAGGCGCGAGAATTGTCCACTTTGGTCTTACTGGTATCTTGAAAGTTCAAGTGGAAGACCAGGAGCGGCACTTAAGGGCCAGTCCCTGAACTTGCACCTGTTGCCCACAATTATGCAGTAACCTGATGTTTGTTTCGATCATTGAGTTATTGGGCAATAAAGGCATTTATTATTATTATTATATTGAAAGTCTAGTATCTTAGTATTTTGTAAACTTGCTGGTTTGGTTCCCTAGAAAATGGGGAAAGGAAACTTTCCGTTTAATTCCGTTTCCAAATGTAGTATCACGAGAGCGAGGAAATGTCTCTGCCCCTACTATACAGAGTAGGTATAAATCTTTCTGGCTACCAGAACACCATGAAAAACGAAGAGGAAATCTTCCATTACCATCACGTTATTTTGACTTACATATTTGAAAATTCCATACTCTTGGTTATCAGGAGAATATAATGTGTGAGGTGTCTTAGCCCCTACTACACAGAGAAGGTGTCAGTTAGCAAACTTTTCCAAAGTTCTTTTATCTACCAGGAGTAACATAATGGATGAGGAGATCTTGATAACTTCTGCCATTTTGTAATTAGTCTTAGGGTGAGGGGACCTTTTTCCGTCTTAACCTTTACTAATTTAGTAGGTATCAGGAGAAAATAATATGCAAAGTGTCTCGACTTCTACTGCACAGAGTGCCAGCAAACTTTAGTAAAACTGTTTGTCTTTCAAGAGAACATGATGGACGAGGAGGTCTTTCTCCATTACCAGGAGTAATATTTCAACACTTAACTTTTACTCAATTCAGTGTCACAGGAATATAATGTGCAAAGAGGTGCATCAACTCCTTCTACTCAGTATAGGTATCGGTATCGTTTCAGAAACTCTTGCAAAATTCTTCTGGTTACCACGAAAACATGATGCCCGAGGAGGTTTTCTTCCATTTACCAGGATTCATTTTTCAACACTTTATGTCGGTTTAAACTTTTACAAACTCAATATCGTATTTTTTGTATCTGGAGGATATAATGTATGAGGAAGTGTTTGGCTCCTACTACACGAAGTACCTATATATGTTATCAAACTCTTGTAAAATTTTGTATCTACCAGGAGTACATGATGGACGAGGAGATTTTATTCCATTATCAGGAGTAGTATTATAGCACACATGTGCTTAACCTTTACAAATTGAGTATCTGAAGGTGTCTCAGCCTCTACTACACGAAGGATCAGTTAAAAAACTCTTTTTAGCGCATTTCCACAAAAAAAAAAAAAATGCGCTATTGTGGCCACTTTGTCCGTCCGTCCGTCCGTCCGTCCGTCCGCTAACTTTGCGACGCTACTAGTTTTTTATCTTAAGAGCTATTGCTCTACTTTTTTCGCTATTTGGTTCGTTATGGTGTCGAGTCTTGTACCAAGGAAGGAATTTTTTCTGTACCGCTTACAAAAAAGTTATTGTAAAAAAAACAAAAAACCGTTTTTTACATGTTCCATAATTTTACACTTTTGCCGTTTATTAACGATCCTAAAGATCGTTTATAATTTTGCATTGCTATCTGTCGTCTGCCTGTTGGTCTGTCCGTCTGTTCCTTTGTCTGTCTGTCCATCTATCTGTCCGTGTGAACGATAACTTTGTTTAGAAATGTTCAATCGCTTTTACATCTCCGTTAGTTATGAACTGAATTGCATGAAATTCAATATGGGCATAGCTTTAGCCATATAATACGCAATGCCAAAAGTTGGATCGAATCGATTCAAAATTCACAGTGCCCTTTTCGCATCTCGACCATTTATAAACCGAATTGCAAACTGTTTTACTTATAAAAGTATTTGAATGAAATTTGATACATAGGCACTTCGAATAAAGGAAAATCAAACGCCAATTTCAAAATTTGGTTTTGCGCATGCGCAGTGCCAACTTTTTTATTTATGGAGAATTTAAACGAAATTTGATACATAGGCACTTGGGATAAAGGAAAATCAAACGCCAATTTCAAAATTTGGTTTTGCGCATGCGCCGTGCCAACTTTTTTATCTATGGAACTATTTAAGTGAAATTTGATACTTAGGCGCTTGGAACAAAGGAAAATCTTAGTTTATTAGTTAGTTATAGTAAATTAGTTTTAAAATTTAGGTTTGCGCATGCGCAGCTCCAACTTTCTTGTTTAGAAAAGCATTGAAATGAAATTCTTCTCATAAACTGAAATTGAAGTAGCACGTCAACAATGGATTGCCCATGTGCAACGCTATTTTTCATATTTGTGGCCGGATTTTTACGATTTTAACAGAAGTTGCATCTTACAAATGGGAAATGAATGCAAGTGGAAATGCGCTTTATGTAAATCGTTTACGATTACTTTTTAACTTGTTTTTCTGGCTACCAGAAGAAGATGATGCACGTGGAAGATTTGTTTCCATTTACCAGGATTTTCAACATTTTATTTTGGTTTAAAGTTTTATAAATTCAGTATCGTACTCTTTGGTATCAGTAGAATATAATGTGTGAACAGGAATCTTGGATTCTGTTACACAAGTAGAGTTTAGCAAACTCTGCTAAAAAATTGCCGACTAGGGGAACATGATGGTCTTTTTCCATTATCAGGAGTAATACTTCAGCCCATACTGGCTTAACTTTTACAAATTTGGTGATATGAGAACAGGTTTTTTCCACCTCCACGAGTATTATTTTAACAGACGTTTGCTTAATCTTTACAAGTTTTGTATCAGGAGTGTCAGAAAGCTTTAGGGACAAATTTTCTGTATACCAGGAGAACATGAGAGAGAGGAGACCTTTTCCCATTATCAGAAGTGATATTTCAACACCGTCCTTATTTTGGTTTAAACTTTTTCAGATTCCTAATAATACTCTTTCGTATCAGCAGAATATAACGTGTAGGGAGGTATCTTGGCTCCTGCTACACGAAGTCGGAAAACATTTGTAGTCGCACGTTATATTCTCCTGATAGAGGATTGATAAAAGTTAAAATTCTTTAAGATCCTGCTCAAGACTTCTTTCCCCAATTTCGTAATTATAGGTTCAAGAGGCCAATAAAAACGTTATCTCGCGGTGATGGAAAAAGACGTCTATCATGTTCCCCTGGAAGCCAAACCAATTTTAGAGTAGTTTTCCACTACCTTTGCGCACATTATATTCTCCTGATAGAGGATTGATAAACGTTAAAATTCTAAGATCCTGCTCAAGACTTCTTTCCCCAATTTCGTAATTATAGGTGCTGAGACCAATAAAAACGTTCTCTCGCGGTGATGAAAAAAGACGTCTATCATGTTCCCCTGTTAGCCAAACCAATTTTAGAGTAGTTTTCTACTACCTTTGCACACATTATGTACTCCTGATAGAGGATTCATTAAAGTTCAAATTCTTTAAGATCCTGCTCAAGACTTCTTTCCCCAATTTCGTAATTACGGGTGCTGAGGCTAATAAAAACGTAATCTCGCGGTGATGGAAAAGGACGTCTATCATGTTGCCCTGTTAGCCAAACCAATTTTAAAGTAGTTTTCTACTACCTTTGCGCACATTATATACTCCTGATAGAGGATTGATAAAAGGTAAAATTCTGTAAGGTCCTGCTCAAGACTTCTTTCCTCAATTTCATAAATATGGGTGCTGAGGCCAATAAAAACGTTATCTCGCGGTGATGGAATAAGACGACTATCATGTTCCCCGGTTAGCCAAACCAATTTTAAAGTAGTTTTCTACTACCTTTGCGCAGATTATATACTCCTGATAGGGGATTGATAAAAGTTAAAATTTTTAAGATCCTGCTCAATACTTCTTTCCACAATTTCGTAATTATATGTGCTGAGGCTAATAAAAACGTTATCTAGCGGTGATGGAAAAAGAGGTCTATCATGTTCCCCTGTTAGCCAAACCAATTTTAGAGTAGTTTTCTACTACCTTTGCGCACATTATATACTCCTGATAGAGGATTGATAAAAGTTAAAATTCTTTAAGATCCTGCTCAAGACTTCTTTCGCCAATTTCGCAATTATGGGTGCTGAGGCTAATAGAAACGTTATCTCGCGGTGATGGAAAAAGACGTCTATCATGTTCCCCTGTTAGCCAAACCAATTTTAGAGGTGTTTTCTACTACCTTTGCGCAGATTATATACTCCTGATAGGGGATTGATAAAAGTTAAAATTCTTTAAGATCCTGCTCAAGACTTCTTTCCCCAATTTCGTATTTATATGTGCTGAGGCCAATGAAAACGATATCTCGCGGTGATGGAAAAAGACATCTATCGTGTTCCCCTGTTAGCCAAACCAATTTTAGAGTAGTTTTCTATTACCTTTGCGCACATTATATACTCCTGATTGAGGATTGATAAAAGTTAATCCTGCTCAAGGCTTCTTTCCCCAATCTCGTAATTATGGGTGCTGAGGCCAATAAAAACGTTATCTCGCGGTGATGCAAAAGGACATCCATCATGTTCCCCTGTTAGCCAAACCAATTTTAGATTAGTTTTCTACTACCTTTGCGCACATTATATACTCCCCGCTGTTTCGGTAAAACCCACACAAATAGACACATAATACCAAAAAGGAAGTTAAAGCAAAGAGTTCCCTAATTACTCTTTGGTTAAAAGGGTCTCAGTTAGGGAAATAAAGAATTTAGCCGCACATTGTGAACTATATTTCAGCCTCGATTTCAGCCGAATGAGTTTAGGTGTCGTAGTGCAAAATAAGTACACAAGGCTTTTTTTATTTGAATTTTAATGTCTTATTGACTCTTGTTTTTCTGTTAGAGAATTGGCTAGAATAGAACTACCATCCCTAAATCGTATATTTGCAATATCCTACCGGCGCACAACTTAAGTTTAAGAGTTCCTCCATTTCTCAAGCATTAGTTGGGGCGGTGCATCAAATGGGGTTGATAGATGTGAGATAATTGTGGTGTCATTCGCCCATCCTGTCGTGGTTTAAATTCCGATCCAATTGTGATAGTGTTGGGATAAGGGTGAATGTTCTTCGAATGCTTCTTCTTCTTCTTGGTTTTCTTCGAGGGTAGCTCAACGGGTTTCGGTACGTTCATATCGTCGTTCTTCTTTTTGTAGTAGAAGATCTCCCCCGCCAAAGTCAACATGGCGAGACCCAACCCGACCAGCGTCGCGATGAAGACGCCGCCTGTAAGTCACGTGACAATTCGAAGAAAAACCACCTGACTCATGGTACTCACCCAGACTTTCTAGCGTGATCCCCTCGCTCTCGTCGAAATCCGAACAGTCGCCCCTGATCGACGTATTCCAATATTTCGTCTGGAGAAAGTCGAAGAAGCGTTCCCTTTGCAGATCTAAAATTCTAAACGTCTTTAGTTAGCGCGGAATTGGCCGAGCGTGGGATGATTACGCGATGCTGATGGGATCCTGGAGGTAGCTGCCCTGCTGAATGGCGATTGCGTACGGTTTCTCGGCGAAGACCTCGCCGACCTCGCTGAAGTTGCAGTTCCTCGAAATTTCGTACTTGATCTCGGACGAGTCGTGAATGAAGGCGAAGTCGCCTTCGAGCCGTTCGTTTACGATGCGGAAACCTTCGGACGCGTTCGGCACGGGGTTCGATTCGTTGATCGACAGCAGGATGTGACCGTACTGCTCGTGAATCGGATAGTCCCACACTCTGTACCTTTTGTCCTCAGTTGAGGCGTTGAGGGTGAGCTCTTTCCACATTCTTAAAGTGAAATAGCTATGAAACGATGGGGGGCGTGGCTGAGCGTACCTGTAAAGGGTGTCTTCGGCGAACTTCATGTTGATGAAGTATTCGTGGGTGAGTGACTCCCTGACAACTGTGTAATTAATACGGGATTGTCGGGAGAGTTGATCTAAGGACTCTACGGGCGACTGAAAGAAGTACCGTCTTGACATAGGTCCCAGAAGATGACAGTCAGGAAAACGGCATTCTCCTGTCTCTTATCTCCTTGGGGGTACCTACTTGCATACGCTCCACAGTTAAAAATGCAGCTAAGTTGGCTGTGAATGTCGCCAGCATGAGGACCACGAACAGCCAGTAGGCTGCCACCAGGGTGCGCGCTGACAAAGACTTTGGTGCCTCCCCTCCACCTTGGGGGGTGAACGAAGTCAAGGCGAACCAGAAGCTTTCCTTCAAAGTGAACTTCCTGAAAGCACCTCGTCTTTAAGTGGTAGTAACTGGGTAGATAAGCCAACCTGCAAGTGTAGGGATAGGCATCCGGGTTGTTCTTCGCGCTGTAAGGGGAGTACCGGTCTAAGAACCAAATCATGCAGGCCGCCACGATTAGGGCGGCAACAATGCTAAGCCATACTTCCACTTTGAGCACAGTCATAAACTTGAATAGCGACGTTTTAATGACCGGTTTCCTCATCACTGCAATGGACATGGTGAACACGATGGCAGACAGGCGCTACCAACCTATGGAAATTCCCGACTGCTCAAAGTATGGTGGTACAAAATCGACCACCTCCTCTCGGTCAGCTGTCATGATCAAAGGAGCTATGGACATGTACGTTTCACCTGATACAATATCGCCAATGATCCCGTCCCATTTGCCCTTCGCATTTTTGTGCCCAAATGTTCCGCTTTTGGGCACCACCAATTCGTAATTGAAGTGAAGCATTTCGGAAAGCTTCTGGACGAACTCGATGCAGTACCCGGTCCACCGCTTTTTACCAGTGACCGGGTCAGTCTCTTCGTACGCCCAGGGCACCGCCTAAAAAAAATCGATGACCGAACTTTGAGTTCAGCCAACTTACCGTTATGGTTCCGATGCGAAAAAACGGCTTCACCGGCTGAATATCGTAATTTGCTTCGGCCACCAACTCACCACCTCGATACCTGGCGATGATCTCCCCGTCGGCTTCGACGCTTGCCACCGCATCCAACCGTAACGCCCCTTTAACCAAGCGGAAGGTACCACTACCCCTGCCGTTCTCAGTTAAGCTCTGTAGTAGATCAGTTGCGATTGTCTCGCTGTACTTCTGCTCAAAGCACGAGACGTTTCCCCCCAGATCCACACCGCGCGCAACCATATCTTCTAAATTTCGATCGATCTCCCAAAGGATGGCGTTAAGCAGGTCGCGCTGTAACCGAAAGTCTTGGGGGCAAACGCATTCCTCCAACCTTCGCAGCTTGCAGCACGTCTCCGGGGCAATCCGCAGCAAGTTTACGTTTGTCAAATTTAGCTCCTGATCCAAACATTCGGAGGGGAAATCTAGAAACGCCAAATTCCAACGCTCGGGGAATCTCACCAGCCTCTCGCTGTAAGCCTAAACCACCAATTATTACAACCGAGCTTTTAACAAAAGGTGATTACCGAGCGAAACAGTTCGGTAACGTTCGCCGTGTGCGCGATGATCGCGAAGCTGTTCGGCATCGGTCGCATCTTCTTCAACCTCTCCGCCGTGACCTTGTCCAGCTGGTGCGTGACCACCATGCGCAATCGCGTTGAGTCGATCCAATAATACAGCGCTTGGTCGACGTCTGAAACAAATCCGCTGATGTGAATCGGCGGCGCTCTTACGCACTCACTATTCGGATCGTCAAAGATCGCGACGAGATCGGACGAGTTTCTCATGGTGAGCAACTTATCCAAAACGTCCAGTATCGGACTGATCGAAAGGTCAACTCTTACGTAGGGCACGTCAAGCTTCTCGGCCACTGACTTCGCCTTCTCGTTGCCGCTCCAGGTGGCGTCGATTACTAACGGGGGGTTTCCGGAGAGGGTGCTGCAAACTGTAAAGGAAATTAGCGTTGATGTACCATAGCGGAACTTACCCTTGTCCTCGTCCTCATCTGTAAATGCTAGCGTCAGAACGTCACCGGCGAGAGTTACGCGGCCCTCGCCGTACAACGGCAGAAGGTCCCGGAACCATGTTACGAATTCCTCTTGGCCTTCTTCTGTGACAAAAACTGCAACATAAAGATACTTTTGTTGTTGTGTAGAGGCAAATTTTGTCAAATCAAGAAGGGGGTACTGAATAGAGTCTTTTTTGAGTTTTGGAAGAAATTGAAACTGGGAGAACATGATATTGTGGACGATGTGACATTCCCTTCAGGCAAGATCCGTTGAAAAACTGGACAAGATGTAAAGTGATCCAAGATCGAAGATCCGAGATGGAAGCTCGAAGATCGAAGATCCGAGATCGAAGATCCGAAATTGAAGATCTGAGATCGAAGATCCGAGATAGAAGATCCGAGATCGAAGATCCCAGATCGAAGATCCAAGGTCGAAGATCCAAGATCGAAGATCCAAGATCGAAGATCCAAGATCGAAGATCCAAGATCGAAGATCCAAGATCGAAGATCCAAGATCGAAGATCCAAGATCCAAGATCCAAGATCGAAGATCGAAGATCCAAGATCCAAGATCGAAGATCCAAGATCGAAGATCCAAGATCGAAGATCCAAGATCGAAGATCCAAGATCGAAGATCCAAGATCGAAGATCCAAGATCGGAGATCCAAGATCGGAGATCCAAGATCGAAGATCCAAGATCGAAGATCCAAGGTCGAAAATCCAAGGTCGAAGATCCAAGATCGGAGATCCAAGATCGGAGATCGGAGATCCAAGATCGAAGATCCAAGATCTAAGATCTAAGATCTAAGATCCAAGATCTAAGATCCAAGATCTAAGCATCCAAGATCTAAGATCCAAGATCTAAGACCCAAGATCTAAGATCCAAGATCTAAGATCCAAGATCTAAGATCCAAGATCTAAGATCTAAGATCGAAGATCCAAAATCAAAGATCCAAAGAATTCAAGATTCGAAATTCAAGATTCCAGATTCAAGCTTCAAAGATTGATGATGCAAGATTCAAGATTCAAGTTTCAAGATTCAAGATTCGAGATTCAAGGTTCAATACCAAAAGTTCAAGATCCAAGCAGCAAAGTTCAAAGTTTAAGTACAGTGGAGAGAGTTATGAGTTCAGAATTTAAAACCCGAGACTCTTGTGATTTAAGCTTTTCTAGATTCGAAAATGGTCAAGATTCTCTTGATCCGAGATGCTCAAGATTCAAAGTTCATAAAATTCTAACTTCGAGACTCAAGACTCCAAGCTCGAAGATCCAAGATCGAAGATTCAAGATCGAAGATCCAAGATCGAAGATCCACGATCCAAGATCCAGGATCGAAGATCCAAAATCAAAAATCCAAAGAATTCAAGATTCGAAATTCCAGATTCAAGATTCAAGATTCAAGATTCAACATTCAAGAGCCTCCAAACTCAGGACCCAAGAGGCAAGATTCGAGAATCAAAACCCAAGATCCAACAGTCAATATTCAAAATGCAAGATTCAGGATTCAAGAATTTGTATTCATGGAAGAGAATTTAGAATTCAAGGATTCAATATTCAAACCTCAAAGTTCAAGATCCAAGAGATATGGGTCATGGTTCACTGATCGAGGTCATCAGGATTCAATATTGTAAAGAAAATTGTGCGTTTCGGGTTAAAGATCCAAGAATTCTATAATTCAAAATTGTCAAGATTCTATCTTTTCAAATGTAATTATTTTTAGGATTAAAAATTTTCAATGCTTAAAGTTTTCTCGATTAAAAATTGGATTACGGATTTAGCATTCATCAGGACCAGGATACAAGATTCAAGCCTCAGAATTCAGGAATCAGGACTCAAGATTCAAAATCTAAGGTTTGGGATTCGGTATTCAGGATTTTGAATTCAAGGAACGGAAGTTACGATTCAAGTACTGTATTGAGTACTGAAACTCTTACCAAAGTTCAATCATCGGGGTCAGGATTCGTAACGTTGTCATTTCAGGATTTTATGATTTTTTTGGATTTTCATGTTTTAAATTTACTAGATTTATAATTAAGATCAATTCAGGATGCATCAGGACGCGGAATGCAAGTTTCCAGATTCAAAAATCGAAATTAAAGATTAAAAATTCAATATTTAATAGTCAAGATTCAGGGATTCAAGATTCAGTATTTTGAATTTAGGACTGGGGATTCGAGGTGAAGAATTCAGTGTTCAAGATTTATGGTTCAAGATGCAAGATTCAGAATTCAATACGGAAGGTTCAAGATCTAAGCCGCAAAGTTTAGGGTTAAAGGACTGCGGTCAGGATTGAAGAGTCAGTATTCGAGATTCAATACCCGTGATTCAAGATTCAAGATTCAATGTACAAGATACAAGGTTCAAGATTCAAAATTCAAAGTTCAAGGTCAAAGATTCAAGATTAAAGTGTCAGGATTCAGGATCCAAGATTCAAGATTTAGGATTCATGAGCAAGGATTCAGGATTCCGGATTCAAGATTCCAGTTTCAAGATTCAAGGTTCAAGATCCAAGATTCAAGATTAAAGTTTCAGGATTCAGGATTCAAGATTCAAGATTTAAGATTCAAAAGCAAGGATTCAGGATTCAAGATTCCAGTTTCAAGATTCAAGATTCAAGATTCAAGCTCCAAGATTCAAGATTCAAGATCCAAGATTCAAGATTAAAGTTTCAGGATTCAAGATATAGGATTCATGAGCCAGGATTCAAGATTCAAGATTCAAGTTTCAAGATCCAAGATTCAAGATTCAAGTTTCAGGATTCAAGATTCAAGATTTAGGGTTCAGGAGCCAGGATTCAAGATCAAGATTGGGATTCAAGATTCGAGATTCGAAATTCTAGATTCGAGATCCGAGATCTAAAATTCAACAGAGAAGCGGCAAAGTCCAAGCACCAAGGTTTAAGGACCGGGGTCGGAACTCATTATTTAGTATTGAAAGTTCCGAATTGAAAATCTAAAACTTTTGTAATTTAAGCTTTCCAAGATTTCAGATTCTCTAGATTCCAGATGCTTCTAAATTCGATACCCGAGACTCCAGATTCAAGATTCAAAAGGCTCAAGACTCAGGGCCCAAGAGTCAAGATTCAACACCCAAGACCCAAGACTCAAGATCCACGGTCCAAGAAGCAACATTCAAGAGTGAAGATTCAAGGTTCAAGATTGAATTCGAGATTTAGGATTTTACAATCAAGAAACAGAATTTAGAATTCAATCCTCAAGGGATTCAAAATTCAACATTTGGAATTCAAATCTCAAGTACCACAAGTTCAAGATCTAAGAAGGAAGGATCGGGGTTTAATGATCGAAGTCAGGATTCAACATTAAGTATTGACAGTTGTGAATTCAGGGTTAAAGGTCTAACTCCACTGAATTGGTCTTATTAGAACCTTCACGGCTTAGGCCTTAGGACACGTGATACAGCCCCTTGAATTTTTGGTTTCTGGAACAGCTCGAATATACTGTAAACGCAACCCATCTCAGGTAGACGGGTGGTACTTTTGAAACCAAAAGTATTAAATTCTTAGCCGGGTTCTTTGTCTCGACTCACTTACCTTCACTCATGTGTGGGCCTCAATTGAACCACTGCAAAACCATCAGCAAAACCAAAGAGTTTGAATAAAATTTAATGTTTAAAAACGAATGATACAAATAATTACTGATCATCCTCCCTCTCAGACATACTGCTATCCTCCGCGCCCGACGAGTCCACCTCCTCGCTCTCCTCCTCCAATCTCACAATGTTCGCGTACTTTTTCACGTACAACTTGACCCTCTTCAAAAAGGTCGCGTTGTCAAACAAACACAAGGTCGCCGCCTCCGGATTGAGCGGGTCTCTCGAGTTCGGGTACGTCAGCAGTTGAGGCAGAAACACCTCAAATATGTTCGACAAGTCGTAGAGAGGACTCCACGTTTGATTGATGACGTCCAAGCAAACGGCGCCCGAGGTCTCCTCAACGTTCGGATGGAAAATCTTGTTCACGAAGCTCACGCTCGGCGAACTGAACGGATAGTTGCTCGGTATCAGAATTCGAACCTTCCACACGCCGCCCTCGTAGGGCGTCTCCTTCGGGCCCAAGAATTTCACGAAGTACTCGTTCGTGTTCATCATCCACACCTCGTGCTTGTTCAAGAGCAGTTTGGTCACGTCGGTGTATGCCCGTTTTTGCGCTGAAATTTGTGCCATTTTCAATCACTACTTTTTGAGGGCGAAGTGTCGTCTTGAAATTTACTAAAACGCAATCACTCAGATCAGCTGTCACATACAAACTGTTAACATTATCTCAACGCCAACTAATGAACAATCTTTTTATATTTGGCGCACCAATCCTGTCGCACTTCTAAGAACTTTTGTAATAAGGGTGACTTTAGTACCTATTTTCATTGGGATCAGACTGTTTCATGGAGTCTCGAGAAGTATGAATTTTTGAACCCTTTAGTTTCTGGTAATGTGACTTTTGAGTGTTCCAAAACTTGATGTATCTTGAACATTCATAGGAATCTTGAGGTTTGTATTTTGAGAAAAAGTGATTTTGGGACACTTGTTTCCCTTCAGAATTTTGGATTTCAAAATTTGTTTAGCATTTCTCGACAACTATGAGTTTCGAGAATCTTCTTTGAAAACGATATAGCGGGTGACCCAATAAGACTGTTCCTCGACCATATCTCGGGAACCGTTCGTCGTATCACGTATGACTTGGTGGTAAAAAAAATTATTGGGTAAATCGTTAGGAAGAATCGCTGGAAAATATTTTCAAGTTCTAAAAATGACCACCAGAGTGCGGAAATGCCATCTTAAATTTTAAAATTGCATTTTCTTTAAATTTCGCATAATAAACTAAACATTCTTTTTTCTCATTTTTAAAGAGAACCCGTTTATCTATCGTTTTTGTAAAAACAAAAACTCATTTATTTCAAAAACAAAGATGGTGTCGGGCGTTCAATTGTTTTTGGAATAACCTGCTTTAACTTCTTAACCGTTCTTTATGAAAAAGTAGCCAAATGATATCCAAAGAGGCCAGTGAAAACCGTTTTTCAAAATCTCGTTCCTAACCTCAAATATTGGGAAACTGAGATTAATTAATTAATTAATTAAAATGCTTAAATTGTATCTTAAATTTACTTTTGACGTATTTCCGGTATTTGTCGATGGCGCGAAAGATTGTTTGGAACAGCACCCTACACTTTTAGGTAGGCCTTGGAAAATTAAACAAAGGAAACACGATGCATTATAA